ATATATATATATATATATATAGCACCATTAATCATGCATTATGTATGTCCTGTTTCCGCCCTGAAACCCAAGTTTGAAATGTACATACTTTTTCATTCGGAGAACGACTTTGTTATTTCTGTTTAGGTCGTTGGATTTGATGCATCCACCACAGTGGAAGAATTTCTGAACACCTTGAACCAGGATACGGGAATGAGGAAGCCAGCCCAGTCTGGATTTGCCTTGTTCACCGATGATCCTTCTGGCAGGGATTTAGAGCATTGTCTTCAAGGAAACATCAAGGTAAAACCAAGTCCCTTTAAGGAGGCACACCCAGCAAGCGACAAAGAAGCTATTATTTGCTATTTGCAACAAATTTAATTCAGGAGTTTTTAAAAATATTTAAGCAATCTAATCTTCACAGTAAAACAAATTTGCGGGACTTTTGTTGAAGCCATAGAATTCTTAATATGCAATCTGCACACACACACACACACACACACACACACACACGCACACGTTAAATAGAGGGAATGGATTAATAATAGTAATAGTACCCTACGTATTAGGGTAATATGGGTGGAAGTGTGGAAACTCTAATCAAATGGCTTTCCATTTTATTCATCTACTCAGCAATATTTATTGTGTCCCAGGAGCTGGACTGGATCCTGTGGGAATACAAAGGATTAGAAATAGTCCCTGCCCACAGCACACTTATAATTTGCTTGGAGAAGAGCAGCCTTATACACTGTAACTTTGGAGTCGGAGTGATCAGTGTAAGAGTGCTGTGAGCGTTCCACTAAGCGGAGAGGTTAAGCTCAGCATTGGAAATGAGGGAAGATCTGAACTGGGCTTTGAAGGAGGGGTAGAAAATGGACCTGTGGGAATAAAGAAGGGATTCCAGATTTAAGGAAAATCATGGGCAAAGACAGAATTAGAAGACTTTTAAACAGTCTTTTCTGGGTCTTAGTAAAATAACTTTAATAAAGTTTCTAGTTATGGCAACAATTAGAAATACAGAATTACAGAACCGGAAGGAACTTGAGAGAAACAAAAATTGGCAAATGAGGAAACTGAGGCCCAGAGGGGGAAATGATTTACCCCAAATCAAACAGCTAGAGCTGGGTCTGGACCTTTTCCTTACTTTATATGGTCTTTGATTGCTGTTGGGAAAAGTTTTCTGGGATTTGGAGATGACAGAATTGGGGCAGAGTAGGGGAAGAACTAGATTTATAAATAATAGCTCACAAGTTTAGAGTATATGCAACATCAGTAACTCACAAAGCCTGTTCCACTCGCAAAACAGCCTGTAGAGGCTCTATAGGGTTCTATAGAATACTGTTACTGTTTATACTTAGTCCAGTAGGCATGTTGGTTAATAGATAGAGTTTCCCCTTCATCCCTTTGCCTATATTCCTACTGCATATTGAGAACTCTAGATGAATGAATGTCTTATTTCTCCTCAGCCCCAACTATATCCTGTTCAGTTCAATAAATCCAAATGAAAATTTTGAGACAGTCATTCCTAGAACACTCTTGTTAATAAATTAGTCAAGCCCTAACCGGTTTGGCTCAGTGGATAGAGCATCAGCCTGTGGACTCAAGGGTCCCAGGTTCGATTCCGGTCAAGGGCATGTGCCTTGGTTGCGGGCACATCCCTAGTGGGGAGTGTTTAGGAGGCAGCTGATCGATGTTTCTTTCTCATCGATGTTTCTAACTCTCTATCCCTCTCAGTAAAATATATTTTAAAAAAATAAATAAATTAGTCAAGAAGCAAGCTAGTATTCTTGGCTGACTTGAGCTAAGTAAATATCAGGGGCTTTGTTGAATAACTGCTTACCACATCTTTTTAAAAACCTTTATTTATATTTCTGTAAATGGTCAGTTAAATAAACAAACATTTATTTGGTTCCTGAAGAATTTTTGTGCTTTCCCAATCAACGAATGTTAAGATTGCATTCCAGATTTCTTTGGTATGACTTCATGTATTCCAATCTTTATAAACTCAGAAGGTAGAAAAGTTGCTTCTTCAGTGACTAAGTCAAGAAAATATTTCTGGAATCCTCTTGTTTCCAATCTCATGCAGTCCTTCATTAAGATTCTTTTTTGAGTGAAAAATGCATTGCCACAGTCCAAAGTTAATGTGTGTCCAAAAGGATGTGAACCAAAGAGCGATTTATAATTAAATCCTAAACTCAAGAGCTGCACATGAGCTTGAAACAAAAAAGCTTTGGTTTTATCACATTCCTCGGAGGGTTTTTTTTCCAGCGTACAGACATGCGTGGCTTCAAGAGGTGCCAGTCCGAAAAGTATGATAAATCTCCATTTTTCACTTTTCTTCTAGATTTGTGACATTATTTCTAAGTGGGAACAGGCTTCCAAAGAACAGCAGCCTGGGAAATGGGAAGGTACGAGAACTGTTCGTCTAACTTATAAAAACAGGTGTGTAATACCATCGCCAGATGCCCAAGTAGGAGTATACACATCTTCACATCATGCACCTACAAGCTAACTTCCTACTGAAGAGCCTGAAAAGTTACATTTATCTGTATGTTTGTTCTATAGACAACTCTACCACAGGAAGAAACTTGCATAAAATTTTATTTCTAATTTTTGTCCTTTAATGTCATGAATAATTATATCTTATAAAAATACGCATTTGGACAAAGATTAGAAGAAAACTACAGGAAAAAAAATAGCTGCTGTCTTAGCATCGGGTGAATTTTTCACTTTTGAATTTTTCTTTGACACTATTATTATATTTTCCATAAAGACTAAATACTACAGATTTGTAGTAAGAAGAAATATTTCAGTTACCCAAGCCTTTAAAAGTGATATATTCATATTCATTCATTCTAATGCTTTCATATTCTCTCTCTCTTTCTCTCTGTATTAATTGAGGTTCAGCTACAAGCCAGGCACTTAGCTAGATGCTCCAGATAAAATAATAATGAGACCAGACACAAAAGTACCTGAACTTTTGGAAATCACAGGCTAGTGAGGAAGGCAGTTGTTAATCATATAATAACTCTAATGAACATATAATTACACATTAAGTTCCTTGAAAGAGAAGAGTGTGGTTCTGTGAAAGAGCATAACTAGAAGCCTGACATACACTGAAGACATCAGGAGGCTTTGAGAAAATGATGCTTATGTCAAAGTCAGAAGAGGGAGGGAGCATTAAAACAGGCAGAGAAGAATGTTCAAAAGCCTACAGTGGGAGGTATCTCAGGGTTTCAGAAATAGTTAAAAAGCCAGTGGGATTAGAGCATATACCTTCTCAACAGATACCATTTTAATATGCTTTGGCGTATGGTCAGAAACCAGGTTTTTTCTCTTTCTCTTTCTTTTTAAACATCATCTTTTCTTCCATATATCTGCAGAAAGTGGTACTTAATAAGCAGTGTACACTGATCAGGTCACATTAACTATACCAAAAAAAAGGAATCTGAAATATCAGACCACGAACCAGGTGGAATTATTAGTGTAGGATTGACTTCTTTCAGAGGCCTACCTTTGGAATGTAAGAAGTGAAGGCACTAATCTATGTATATAAAAGCCTAAGCGACCCTTCGACTGTTCGGTAGCTATGACGTGCACTGACCACCAGGGGGCAGATGCTTAACACACAGGCATGGAAACATGGAACAGACTGATGAATTTGAGAGGGGAGGAGAAAGGAGGGCTGGAAGAGATTAACCAAAGATCTTATATGCATACTAGAGACCCTTCGGGGATTGGGCTGAAACCAGCAGTCCAACATCCCCCGAGGGGTCCTGGATTGCGAGAGTGCGCAGGCCAGGCCGAGGTACCCCACTGATGCACAAACCCGTGCACTGGACCTCTAGTATAATATAAATAATGTACTAGCCTTTGATCCAGTCAGGATTTCTTTTTCTAATAACCCTCCCACAGAAATACCCACATGAGTGGGCACGAGTATTCCAGTATTCCCAAGTAGCTTCTTTGCCATATTTTTTAGAATAGTCAAAAATTAGTGTGTGTGTGGGCGGGGGGGCGGGGGCGGGCTGTGAAAGGAACAGTTAAATAAATGTGGTGCCTTCATATTTTGGACTTCGCTTATACATACGGTCAACACTAAAGGCCACGCACCGTGTGGACAGGCTCCTTTGACCTGGATAACGGTGGTTGTGAGCCATTGGAGCTTCTCTATTCAGGGGCCATGAGCAAGAGATCTGAGGACACAGATCTGACTGTTAAGCTTTGGTGTCTAAGGTTTAAAAGTCGTGCTTTTCTGGAGATAAACAAGATTACTGAGATAATGGAAATGAATGGGCTCTACTCCTGGAGGAGCCTGTTTCCACTGATGACAGCCTTTAGCTGTGGCCCTCGGGTGACTGGGAGAGCAGCAGGCCAGAAGACCTGGAGCTCCCAGGTGGCTGTTCTAGTTCTGTGATGGCTGGAGCAGTGATTCCCATCGTGTGGGCCCTGGCCCTGCGGCTCCAGCATCACGGAGCACATTAGAAACACAAATGATTAAGCCGACCCTCAGCCTTAAGGAGTCAGAGTCTCTGGAGTAAGACCCGGGAGCCCGAGTTTCCACGGTTCTGCAGGTGATTCTTGTGCAGGCTGGGTTTTGAGGAGCACTGAGGCGCAGGCCCTCCTCGCTGCCCCTGCCTCTGGATCTTACCTAGTAGCAGAGGGTGAGCCCCTCGACCTGCCCTGCGGTGATTCTTTATGTAGAAGAGGTTCCAGAATTCTCCTCTGGTTTTGTCGGCTCTAAATGGCATTACTTTCATGCCTAAAACTATTTCTAATAATGCATACTTTATGAGTGTTTATTAAATACATGCTAATTCTGCCTATGATGGCTACCGTTGGGACCAAAATTAAATTTGGTTGAAATGGAGAAAGGTGTTCTGGAAGTCACAGACAAGAATAATGCCCCAAGTCTAGTAAATACCACCAGAAAGGACAGAGAGAGTAACACATAATAAAGATTGCCTAAAAAAAAGGAAGAAAGAGAGAGAGAGAGAGAGAGAGAGAGAGAGAGAGAGAGAGAGAGAGAAAGAAAGAAAGAAAGAAAAAGAAAAGAAAAGAAAGAAACCTCATGACAGTAGCTTTGACATCAGAATAAAAGCAACTCAACCAAAAGTTTAATTTTTAACAGAAGTCTGAAATGGCTGGATAGCCACAGCTCTGAGAAAGTACTATGTTTCTAAATATGGCCTTGCTTTGCATGCATGTAGAAACAGCTTAGACAATGAGCCCTGATTTGCAGGGGCACAGTCAGGAGGGGAACCGCTGTGGCCTATCCTGCAGCCACGGACGAGGAGTCCTGCAACGAAAACTAAAATACCAGCTCCTTATCGTGGAGTTTTCATTTATATTTAGGAATGTGAGTTATGGACTTTTAATTGTTTTGTTTCGGAGGTTAAAGATGGAATGAATAGGTTTTAAGCTTGTTCTCAGAGATGACCATTTGTAAACTAATGTTTGAATTCTATTCATATTTAGCCTGCTTATTTCATTTGTTCCTCGTTGTGTACTTGACATTGTAAGGTCAAGGCATGTTTTTAGCCAAAGGAAACTGGCAAGGGTCCTCCCTAAGGACAGCTCCTCCTTACCCCCTCGTTGAAATCAAAGATCATTTTCAGTCGTCCTTTGTCCTTAGTATTTTCCGGAGCACAGCCTGACATTCCCATCTCTGCCACCCTTAGCTGATTCTCAGAGGCCCTACAGCCATTGGGCCTTAAGCCAAGAAGCATCTTGACAGGTCATCTAATTTAGCCCATTTTTTCTAGCTATGATAACACCACAAAAATTCCAGCATGAAGAGACTCTTGTCATTCTAAATACCTCTAGGGAAGAATGCTAATAATAATAATAACCAACATTTTTTGAGCATTTACCACACACTACTAGGCCCTGTGCTGAGCTCTTTTCATGTGTCATCTCATATAATCCTAACAGCACCCCCACGAAGTAGGTTTTATTATCATTTCCATCTTACAGGTCAGGAAACTGAAGCTCCGGAGAGTGAAGTCATTTGCCCAAGTCATTTGCTACAAAAACGGGGATTCTTTCAGGCTTTTTCCACAAATGATTCCCATATTTAGTAACTCCCACTCCCGTTCAGTTACCCATTCCTGCGGTAAACATCTGTTCGGCTTCTGGTGCATAGAATTTCCCTCCCCTGCCGTTTGTAGGGAGAGACGGACACCAAAGCTTAGCCGCGTGATTCATGCTGTCACAGGAACAGTGTGGCAGAGTCGTGAACATGGTCTCTGGAGAGACACTGCCTGGGTTACAATCCTGGTTCCCCTGCGTCCTGTGTGGCTTTGAGAAAGTCACTTACCATCTCTGTGCCTCAGATACCCTCTATGTGAAATGGAGCTGAAAACAGGACCTCCTCTAAGGTTGTCTCAAGAACTGAATGTCAGCGAGGATAAAGCTCCTGGATCAGGGTGGCCACACCGTTGATGCCCCATCCAGATCTCAGTATAACACACACCTGTGAAAGCTGTGGTGGGAACTAGGGGAAGGCTTCAGAGTGCTGCCTTCCGAGCAGGGACTTGCGTGGTGGCCATCGAGGCAGGAAGGGACAGGGAAGGGGGTCACGACCAGCTGCAGTTTTGGTAGAGTGTTATCAGCAGACTGCAGTGGATGGAGGCAGGGAGGGAGGCGGGAGTGAAGGCAGGCCCTCAGTAGGTTTACAAGGTGATGAGAGAAAAGGCAGTAGGAAATAAATGTTCTGAGGCATGAAATGGGGAGCTGGTTGGGCTGAGAGCTCTGATGAACCTGGAGCCGTGTACACAGGGCTAGTGGTCCTGGTCCACGCGGTGATGTGATCTCCATCCCACAGTATTCAGCTTCCTGGGTGTCAAGTGAGGAGGAGGAGGACATTGGAGATCCCCCTACTAGCTCGTCTGCACCCTGCCTGCTGGGACAGAGGCCCACTCTCTCTGCTCCAGGCCTTCGGGACTGGGCCCCTGGTCATCTTGGGAGAGACGCAGAGCACATTCTCCCGGCACCTTTCCCATTCAAGATCCGTGGATTTGAGTTTCTGGCTTGGTCATTTTTGTGACTCTGTAGTATCTCTCCATATTCTTTCCGAATTGCTATATAATTGTCGGAGCACAAACTGTTTCATCAGGAGCTTGAGCCTATGAGTCCTACATGTTGTATTTCTACATGTCTGGGATTGTTTTCCCTTATTTTGCTTATGGTGTGTTATCTTCCCTTCCCAGGTTCTATGTCATCTACATGCCAGAAATGATTGAAAATACATGCTAGCCCTTCTTGCCTATAGCCATTTGTACATTTGGTTCTCTTTTCCCCTCCTCACTGTTATACCAATTCATACTCTTATTAAGAACGTTCCAGTGGCAACACTTAGCTAAACCCTGGTAGATTATAGTGATGAATAAGACATACTTCTTAACTCTAGTGGAGACAATAAGCTATATACAAAAATCTTTGCATGCCAAAGAGGGAGAGCTCCCCCCCACAACTTTATTCTCTGTTTTATATCACTTTGCTAACATCATTTTGAATTTAGACTCTATCTCTATTACTCAGGCATACTCTCCTACCAGTTAACAATTTTTCATCATGCAGTTACTAATTAACATAGGGCCTAGGATTTATGTGTTCAAGAAACCGCTCTGAATGACTGCCCAGGACAGTGATTCTTACGCTGGGGTGGGTGGAAAGAATTTTCAGAATCACGGGGAAGGAGGGCTTTTCAAAGTACCCGCCGCCCATGCTTCCTCTGCGATGCTGACCTGCCGCCCTCTCAGTCCCTGCTGTTTGAGATAATTATTTCGAGAGATAGTGTGTTTGACGGCAGTGTGGCCCTCCCTCCAGTGTACAGGGAGAAAAAGGCTGAAAATTCAGTGAGAGCCAATGGGCACACACCTAACAGATGCTGGATCTAAATCTCTCTTCCTGCCACTATGTTGTCATGGCAATCTTAAAGGATGCAAGGTGCTGCTTGCCCACTCCACTGCCACCTTTACTGCACCCCATGCCTGACCGGCAGCCTGAAGCCAGAGCCCCAGAAATCTCACAGATAAGGGAACAGCATAGTGATAAAGAAAGAGGGTCACTGAATTGACGAAGAGCTAGGCAGACAAAAGCCATCTTGTATTTCAACAGCTGTTAATAACATGTAGCCTCTTGTTGAGCTACTAAAACTGCTTATGAATGTGGCCAAAAACAGAAAAAAAAAGCCAAAACATTTAAATGTACAAATATTATCTTTTTTTCAGTTTGATGTTGTTTTTGTATTGAAGCCTGCATTTCCTATTCCCTGGTGTGTCCAAGGTACTTAGGAAATATCACAAATGTTTTGAAAATTGGGTTTATACAGCCCATGGATGAAGGGTTCATTTCATTCCCCGAAAGAAAGGGCATATTTAATTTCACTCCGTGTCTTATTTCCTTCCTCAGTAACACTTCAGGATTTGGTATTTCGGGGCATAGAAAATAGCGTAAAATAACATAGAAGTGTCCCTCAACCTCCACCTTAGAGCAGTTTTCTCTTAGTTTGCTGCAAGCGTTGTAAAGAACAGAAACAGAAGCCATTAACAGATAGTAATGATCTAAGCTTATATCACGTAGAGAACTATGTTAGAACAACCTCCTTAATGAAAAATTTCCCTCTTTTTCTTTTTTCTTTTACAGACTGTATTTCTCCATGCAAGCTCGTGGGGAGACTGATAGAGAGAAGTTGCTGTTAATGTATCAGACAAACGACCAAATAATAAACGGACTTTTCCCTCTGAACAAGGACCTGGCGTTGGAAATGGCGGCTCTGTTAGCTCAGGTAACTTCTGGGGAACATAGAGTAACATTTCGTAAAGAAAGAACACTAATTTCAGCACTGATTTAAATGTGGTAAAACAGTGTACCTTTAGGAATTCTTTAAATTCATTTTGCTGTGATAAACACCTTAAAATTACAGGCATTTTAATTACAGTTTGGCTCCAGATTGCTGACAATTGCAGTGATGTGCAATGAGACAGTATTCCATAAAGGGAACCTAGTTGCTTAATTATCTTAAAGTAAACCACGAGGCTTTGCAGTTAATGCAGGAGTTTGGTGAGTGTAGAGCTGTGGGGCTAAGGACGCCATGCTGGCATCACCCCCTCAGCTCTAGGAATCAGTCTTGCTGATATTCTCTGTCTTTATTAGGAAACCCGGGGGCCGAGCGTTAATTGTTGTACGTAGTATCTGGTAAGGCCTGGTGTTGGTGGGGGCATAGTGGGCACGATTTACTTGTCAGTTATTCTCTACACATTATTGTGCTCATTCTGTGCCACACAGTTCACCAGCCTCAGAGCGGGGAGACACTAATCTTGGAGACACTGCCATAGGGTTCCCTAAAAGGCAAAGTTTCCTAGAACAACCTACCATTTTTATAACTATTGTTTGTCCAGCTGCCACATCTTTGGGGGTTAAATCCTGGTCTCGGGTTGCACAGGTAGCTGAGCTGAATACTACCTGGGGACAGGTGGGGACAACTAAAGCTTGCTGTGAGGAAACCGTGTACTGGTGTGAGGAAATTAGGAAGGATGCCTGGCCAGACAGGAGAGAGGGATGACAGCTGAACAGCAGAGTCCAGCTAAGGAACCAACAAATAAGAGACTGGGTCTAGGAACCTAGACAGTTATAAGAATAGACTGTAAGGATGAAGCTCCACTGAGGAATTTAGACAGTAACTGGTCAGAGTAAGAGCTAAATAAGGGAAGCCAAAGGGGTCAGTATCTCAGAGGCCGGGTTGTACTAACAGCTGACCTGGAGGCCAAGGACCTTTTGGAAATGGAGACCTGAGACTTTCTGCAAGCCCATCCCAGTCTTGTTGGAGCCCTCCATCTACTTGTTGGGGAGTGTTATAGATTTTATGTGAATGTTCTTCACCGGAATATCCCCACCCAATTCGCTCCTTGAGCCCTCCTTTGGTACCATATACTAGGCATTTGACTCCGTTTATCCCAAGTATTTGTTAATACTTCAGTCTCCCTATTAAACAGTTAACTCTAGGAGGATTAAACCTAGGCTCGACCTTTTTCTCTCTCACATCACTTAGCACAGCCCCTGACATGGTTTAGGTTTGGGTGAATGAATGGGTAGGTGAGTGGTTGGAGAGGTAGTTGGTAGTTGGATCGGTGGGCAAGCTATGGCATCTGTGTAGATAAAGATTAAAACGTATTTCATTTGGGGAGAAAGGGGCTCTATTCCCAGGAATACTACAATAATAAAATGAGGGGATGAATACAGTAACATGTATGGAGGAAATCTAGGAAGGAAGGAATGAGAATACAGTTCTTGCTCCCATTATATTCAGTAAAGACCTTTAAAAAGTTCGTAATACTTTTTTGAGATTTCCCTTAGCTTTATAACTTTTTTGACTTTCATTTTTAACTTCTATTATTATCAATTAAAATGGTACCTAAAAATGAAAATTTTTCCTGTGCTATAACAGGCAATAGTGGAGTGATGTGGTCTTTAGCAAATACTATTAGAGGGTGATATTAACCTAGCATGCTTAATGTAGATATAGAACTGAAATGTTTAAGTTATAGATTTTTTTCAAAATTAACATGCAAATGGATTTAGATTTTAATAATAATACATACATATGATTATGAATTCCATAATCACACAATCATGATAAGTAGATTTATACGTTATGTGTAATTATATGTTATTATATAATTATTAGGGGTCCAGTGCACAAAATTCGTGCACTGGGGGTTGGGGGGATCCCTCAGCCCAGCTTGCCCCTTCTCACATACTGGGAGCCCTCAGGGGATGTCCTAGTGATGGCTTAGGCCTGCTCCCTGCTCCCCTTGGGGAGCGGGCCTAAGCTGCAGTCTGGAGCTTTGTGGGAGGTGACGAGGCTGATCAGGGGAAGGCACCAGCCCCATCACCCCGTTGCTGCAGCCACTGCCAGTCACCGCAGCCAGCAAGGTTTTTTCATCAACACAGACTCCAGTCCCTTCACCATGAAAAAATGACAACTTTCTTTAGGCATTTTCAAGATGTGTCTTTCATATAATAATAATTTCTTTATTATTTTTTTATCCTCACCTGAGGATATGTTTCCATTGATTTTTA